AATGCTATTTATTTATTTATTTATTTATTTATTTATTTATTTATTATTTATACACATCTTTATACACTTCTTTATACACTTCTTTATCGTCCTCATTTATATATCGTTTCTTGCGTATTCCATAGTGATACGTGTAATTTTCCTACCATTATTTATGTTAAACAATTGTTGTTTACATGAACGCATTAAATAAATCTGGGGATAACAATATACATGGTGTATAGCAGCATGCCCGACGTCGTTGCTATTATATTACCTGTTATGTTGCATGGAAACTAAACTACTCGTTATCGTAATGATATGTAGACTTCAATAACGATAACTGCATTTATCACTGGCTAATCACATGATGGAGTTATCATTGGACTGACGAACTTTGAACCACATCAGTTTTGCGGGAAAAGTGCTGTAGGTATACGGGTAGAAATGTATGAATTGATGTTAACTTGTCGACTATCTAAGCGCATAGGCAATGCTAGTTACGTGTCGCGTCGCACTAAGCCGTATATATATCGGTCGTGAAAGGTAGGCCACCAATATCGACATTTGAAGAGCTGCAGTCTTTGTACCCCGGAGTCTTCGATATGCGTCCCGGTATAGGTTCATGCCGGGGGTTCATGTAAACAACGCTAGTTTTTTGTTCAAACGAGGTTAAATTGTGGCGTTGCGTGACAACTGAGGTGCTTTTTAATGCAGTTCTTTCAAGATGACGAAAACAACCCAATCATAGTTGTCAGCCGCGAACGCAGTGACATGGTGACTTTACTTCAGATCGCTTCTTTGCTATAGGGCGCCACCTACGACAATGGTTTATTCCTGGGCGTCCATTCTCTGCATATGCTTGTCGGCGTCACACTCGAACGTAAAATGTTATGCCAGGATCCACGCCTGTACATACACACTTATTATTATATACTAAATAACTCATATCCTGGTGTTTTTATGCATTTATGACATCACCACCTTTCAAGACACCCGGTTATATGTAAAAACTATTCAAAGAAGTGAATTATAAAGCGTTCTTCGAAAAAATGTTCTATAATATAGTTTCCGTTCCGCTGCTGTGTTGAACAACCTAGTTGGATATAGATCACGCGAGATTTCCCGTGACCCGCCATGGATATTGCGGACAGTTGTAACGAGCGACCATTCGTATAGTTAATTGTATTACTGTGAAATACTTTTTTTGCTTGGAAATAATTTTCGCCATTTTCGCTGAAAGAATGATTCAGTGAAAATAAAATCCAGCGAATATATCTTTATTTTCTATGCTTTATATTCTACTTGTGAAAAATCGGTGAAAATAAATTTCATACAATACACCCAAAAAGTATTTTCAGCGAATATTAATTCCAGCTGAAATAAAGATTTTTACAGTATGTTCAACGAATTCAGCGAGTTATTTTTAATGACGTCATGGTAAATATCATGTTAATCGAATATTGTTCATGTTCTTACATAAATAAATTGGTATTCATTACACTATCAAATACATTGGCGCTTACCAAAGTACTTGCACCACTATACTCGACACACATGACGTCATGGTAAATGTGCAAATGCATTTTGAAATAATAGAACTGTAAAACACTTTATTTTCACTTGCAACTAATTTTTGCTATTTTCGATGAAGAAATGATTCAGCTAAAATAAATCGAGCGAATATACCGTTTTCCTGTATTTTACATTCAACCATAGACCCTCTAAAAGAGGGTCTATGATTCAACTCGACAAAAATCAGTGAAAATAAATATTATACAAAACACTCAAAAAGTCTTTTCAGCGGATATTAATCTCAGCTGACATAAAGTGTTTTTTACAGAATTCAGCGAGGGCTTTTAAATTGCACCCTCTTTAGTACAATGTACTTCAAACTCGGCCATTTTGTTTCATGTCCATTGTCATATTTTCAAGCACCTCGGTTTTCGACCATCCGTGTTCTTCCCGATTTTTGTTTTCTCACCTTTATGGCGCTTCAAATGAGAAATGAGATTTGTGGAATACTTCCAATCCAAAACTACATCTAATTTAGCCTCAGATGGGGTTCCAACCCATGATCTTCGATTTACGAGACCGACGCCTTACCACTTGGCCACTGAGGCTATGTAGCACGGAAAATAAATGACAGTGACGTCACTACAATTTAGGAAGGCCAAAAAAAATCGGCATCACTATACCCGCCACACATTACGTCATGGTAAACATCATGTTAATCAAATATTGTTCATGTTCTTACATCAATAAATTGGCATTCATTACACTATCAAATACATTTCGAAATAATAGAACTGTAAAATACTTTATTTTCGCTTGCAACTAATTTTTGCGGTTTTTGTTGAAGAAAAGATTCATTTAAAATAAAATCGAGCGAAGATACCATTTTCCGGTAATTTCCATTCAACTCGTCAAAAATCAGTGAAAATAAATATTATACAAAACACTCAAAAAGTCTTTTCAGCGGATATTAATCCCAGCTGACATTAAGTTTTTTTAACAGTATGTTCAACGAATGCTTTTAAATTGCACCCTCTCTGGTACTTCAAAGTACGCCATTTTGTTTCATGTCCATTGTCATATTTTCAACCATCCATGTTTTTGGCTCTTCAAATGAGAAATGAGATTTGTAGAATACTTCCAATCAGCTCTTATTTCTACCATCCTTGTTCTTCCTGATTTTTGTTTTCTCACCTTTTTGGCGCTTCAAATGAGAAATGAGATTTATGGAATACTTCCAATCCAAAAGTACTTCTAATTTAGCCTCAGATGGGGTTCGAACCCATGATCTTCGGTTTACGAGACCGACGCCTTACCACTTGGCCACTAGGGCTATGATAAAAAAATTGGCAGTGACGTCACT